TCGGGATAATAGCCAAGCCGTGGCAACAAATGATCCTGGGATAATAGCCAGCTGCATGGCAACAAATGGTCAGGATAATAGCCAGCTGTGGCAATAGTCAGGATAATAGCCAGCTGTGGCAGCAAATGGTCGGGATAATGGCTGTGGCAACAAATGGTCAGGATAAAACGGCTTTGGCAGCAAATAGTCCCGGGATAAAGCCAGCTTTGGCAACAAATAGTCCTGGGATAATAGCCAGCTTTGGCAACAAATAGTCCCGGGATAAAGCCAGCTGTGGCAACAAATAGTCCCGGGATAAAGCCAGCTTTGGCAACAAATAGTCCCGGGATAAAGCCAGCTGTGGCAACAAATAGTCCTGGGATAATAGCCAGCTGTGGCAACAAATAGTCCCGGGATAAAGCCAGCTGCTCGGCAAAGAAGAGCGAGGTGAGAAAAATTGGTCTATGATGCAACATGGCGGACGGCCAAGATGGTGAGGCCGCGAGATGGACCCGGGAGAAAGTAGGTCAAGGAAGAAGAGAGGGAGGGAGGGCGTTGACCTCCCTGCCTCTCGCCGGCGGTACTTTCTTATCTTACCATTTATCATAGAAATTGAAGTCATGTCCTTCCTAGTAATAATTTCGACCGGATCAAATAGTTTCTAGTTCGTTGTAGAAATATTATTGGTTTTCAATCTTAAATCAAAAGCGATTATAAGGGATCCAAAGATTTACTTGTACTGTAGTTATTAAATCTCTTTTGATATTTAAGAAACATTTATATAAATTAAGTATAACGTGTTTGTCTTTATATGATCATTAGATGTGTAAGAGTATTTCTCAGACTAATGTAACTGATTTGAATAGTATTGGAGTTCAAGGCTGACCGTAATGTTTCACACCTATTTCCTACACATATCATTGATCAATCACTATAATTTCTAACATTTTGGTAATTTCTAATATTTGATAATACGTAGATTTAAATTTTTGCTTGCCATATATATCTCTAATCTGTCGAATAAATGTTGGGAGGAATATTGATTTAGTCACGCCTTGGTGGTGAGAGAGAGTGGTGTTAACTGTGTGGCAACGGTGAGAGAAAACGGACTTTAAAGGTTGCCAGCCAAGCCTCCAGGCCAGTTGCCGAGTTCCTCCTTCAACAAAGTTTATTTCTACATTGTCTCGTCCCTATAATCGCATTTTTTCAAATTTTCCTGATAATACACATCAACATAAATAATTCCTATTCAAATTTCGAAGAAAAAATTAGAAATTCATATTTACGTGACAACTGGCAAATGCTTCGTGACCAACTCTATGTTGCTGCCCACGGAATTCAAAATCATGTTATATGTAGTATTGCATAGACCACAATCAATAATGATATTGATACACCAAGAGCAGGTAGCAGTTGTCATGGAAGCTAATGTTATCTCTGGCTGTCACTGACATCTTAATATGTTTATGTTGATGCTTTAATCACCGTTCATCTTCTATCACTGATCTCTGATAAGATGCGAGATATAAATTTAGTACAGTAATACTTTTTTTTATGATAATCGTTATAATGACATCTTTAGCGGTTTGTGCTGGCAGGTGGAGGCAGGTATACACGTGTCCCTCATTTGATAGCTAGCTGCTGAATGATACAAGTCATGTTATACTTAAAAACAAACTTCATAAATAATATTAGTTAATAAGGGACGATAACTTGTTGACTGGGTCTTAACTGGGCAATGCTACCTGCTTTTAGATGAACACATACATCTGTAACAAAATACATAACTAACAGTAACTTTACCAAGGTTGCTTCACCTCCAAAGCTGTGTGTGTGTGTGTGTGTGTGTGTGTGTGTGTGGTAAGGGGTTTACTGTAACTTAAGTACAATATGTTAAACACCAGGCGGTTGAGGAGACATGACAAACGGCCTTCAGAGGAGACAGAACTCGGGTTGTGATATCTTAACTTTTCACTGACAATGATCCGCTCACCTAGTCTTTGCTTCGAAAAACACGTAATAAGCCTTTTAGGTGAGGCTTTATCTGTAGGAGAGTGATGAGCGATGTACTACGTGAAAACATATTTGATTTAAACACAACGCAGTACATGTTCACGTGTTTGACAGTGGTGACAATTATAAGAGTTTAGCAATGATTATTTTTCATTTTCTCAAATATTGTTATTCACTCGCTACTTGTCTACTCCAGGTATTTACGTATAGCACTGAAGTTCACTCACGTTTATTTTTTTTGTATATTTGCTCGAATTTTTTTTCCGCTTTAAACTATCAATAAATATATACGATATGTTCTGTTTTCGAAGATCATGGCGTCTAGTGGAACTGACCGGAGTGTTGTGTACTACCATAGTGTACACGTATTTGAGAGTAATTGGTCATTATGAGGCTGCTCTCTCAGGTTACCATGCCATCATGCACCTTAAATTATGGTATCATATGTCATAGAATGTGTATATTTCCCTTCATACATGATAAGTAGAGAACTCCATCTAGCTACAGTATAGACAAACTGTCGGTGGAACTACAAGTGACATCCCATCTGATACTTGTCAACAAAGGCTGTTTATCTTAGCTGTAGCAGACAAGACCTGACAGTAGAGGCTTCTCACCGTGACACATTCCCAGAGGTATTGCACTACCACATGCCACACAGGCTAGCGAGAAGAAATGCTCCATCCGTCATTGTTTATGTTCTGTGGTCAGATATTTACGTTACGTGGTTATCAAATTCTCAAGAGTTAGTCTTTACTTTCTCACATGTGTATCTACGTCATATCTGTTGTCACGTGTCCTCAGTTTTGTGTCTTACCTCGACAGTATCAGAGTCACGTAGTAATATATCTGCTGCGTTGATTTTTCCGATTTGAAGGTAATTCTGAACTATAGATAGATAAATAGATAGATAGATTAGATATTTATTTTGGATTCAAATGCATTGTATTCAAAATATGATTTGCATTTCTATCCATAGTTTGCTTTACAACACATACACAGTTCAGACTATAACACATACTGTACAAACACATTACGATACACATACACTTACCAGATTCAGTCCTAAACCAGAGAAAACAAAAGAGACACGATTGCTACCTTTTTCTTCCCTGAACACCTGAGTCAGTTTACTTGGAACACTTATAGTCAGTCTTCTCTGAATTTTATTGACTGTCATTAAATTGTACTACCTGTACCTATATACTTTTTTCAAGCTCATATTTTGCGAGTTTGATTAATGGATAAAAACTTGAGCCTCTGACGTGTTTTTTCTATGATTACAACACCTGTGGTCTCCCTCGTGTGTTCTTACCTGAAGTGTAACGTTAAGGTTAATATACTGTACTGTACATGGAAATACCACCAGGTGTAATTAATAACCTCGTTTATTCTACTGAAATATATCTTACCTTAACTTTAATGGATCACCTGAAGATTAAGCACCCCAGCTTATATCACCTGATGACCAAACACGCTAAACTAACCTTGCCTTGCCTAATGTACCTCCAGGTAGCCTAATCTTCAGGTGATCTGTATAAATTTATATTCTGCCTATCTTTCTGGCATAATAATTGACCTAACTATTGACTCCCAATAGTGTGGTACGGTATAATACAAGTAGTAGATCTCAGCCCTAACAGTGTACCTGGCATCCACTGTTTCCCATACTCACCTTTGTCTAATGAGCGTGACCTCTAACCGCTGACAGCATCATTCACTCTTGCTTCTCGCTAATGGCAGCCTGACCTCTCACATTTGACCCATGACAATGTTATTCTCACCTTTGACTCATGAGTGTGACCTCTCACCTATTACAGCTGACAATATCATTCACTCTCACCTCTGACTCACGGCAGTCTGACCCTTCACCTTTGGTCCCAGAAATAGGGTCTATCTGTCCCCTTTGATATTCGTATTCTGTGCATTTCATATTAGTGTGAACACTAAGTGGGATAAATATAGGTCAGCTTTTATTTAGATATACTAACAAACAAGGTACTAAACCTTGACAAAGTATAGTGGAAAAAAAATAACATCAAAACAACAATAGCTTATTTGGACTCATTTGTCGAGACTGTAGCTGAACCTTCCGGGGATTTTAAGAGGGAGGGCATCCTGTAGGTCCCGTAATGAGGTGAAGACGTTACCAGGAGAGAGATGAAGAGTAGGGCTGCTCATACACCTGGAAGGGTCGTCCTATGCTAGTTATGTTAGGAAGTGGGATATTCTTAACGATAAATTATCTTTGATTATGAAACGACACCATGAAAAAGAACCAAGGAGTCACGAGAAATCTTTCGAGTGCTTATGTTCAGGTTGTGTGCACGAATGAGTGGATACATGCGTGATTCCGGGTTATCATAACTACATGTCTTTAGTTTTGTACTGGTGTTCGCAGTGAGTTTCTTTCCAGTTGTTAGTCGAGAAGATAAGTGTCCATAACACATTTTCTGATAAACTGCTGTAACTTATCTTTTACTTATTATTGACGAAAACAGAATACTTATAGCACTGATTCAGAGATAAATAACAAAATGATCGTAAGGTATGATGTCAAGTTCTTGTGGTGGAGTCTCGGTTAGTGTTGAAGAAATGACTAATGTGAATGAATGAATTACCTTCACTCAATATCATGGTGGAAATCCAAGTTATTTTTCCTTCCCTGAAATAAATCGATATGAATGTTCTTAATGTTATTCCTATAAGAAGTCTAGATTGGTTTAAGGTGTTGATACACAATATATATTTATTTCACCTTAATAAAGTTCCTGTTGAGTGTCCGAGTAGAGGCTACGGTGAGGTTAACACAGCTCCTCCTACCTCGCCTCCAACACATGAAAGTGTTCAATTCTTCATCTTTCATTACTCCTCATCTTTATTTAAGTTAGTTTTATATATATAAAAGTCAGCTTTAAAGATCCGCAACTGATTAATATTTTAATAAAGTTCTTTATCTTTTGATTACACAGGCGGGATGGAAGGGATTGGAATAGAAAATAGTACAATAACAATATTAGTGATTATTTATTTGCTAAATCAACCTTAGAGATCGTTTACTTAGTAAACAGGAATATATCATCAAGATCCACAGCAGCACCACCAGTAGTTTGATTACAACAAAAACACCAACTTGCAGTTAACAAATATCCGGAGTGACTTGCTAGAACAAAATATAACATAGATAACTAATGACTACAAAATCATTTGAAAAATGCAACTCTTTACTACGACAGCTAAGTCTCTAGTTACTAAACTAAGGTAAATTAATTACTTAGTGGCTCCTTGTTGCAAGAAGAGACTTACAGGTGCAGTGGCGCCTCGGTGTGAAGTACACCAGTGTCCTCGCCCCTCCTCTCTCTCTGTCAACCTCCTGTCCTCCTGTTTGTCTTTCGTCGTCAGTTTTACTTGTCGTCTCTGGTGTTAATTTGGTGTCATTGTTGCTCTCGCTCTCCTTGCCATCGACAGGAGTGGCCGTCACCTCCAGGATGGTGTCCATTACTACGGTCGCCGACCTGGACCGTCTAGCTCTCTTGTGTTCTTCTTCGGGATCTAAAAGGTTGCAGTTCTTCTTAATGTCATCATGTAACTCCTCCACATCTGCTGACGTGTCCACACAGCTGATGATCACGAGATGATCTGTGTCTGGTACACAGTTTTCAGACTCCTGTTGCACCTCCTGTTCCGGTGACGTGCCCCTGTGGAGCAGTCTCTCGGGTGAGTTGGTGAGGGACCTGGAGGTGTGAGGCATGGAATGTCTCCTGGTGGTTGTCTTCCAAGGAATTTCTCCTTATTCCCCCGGGTGTAGAGTTCCTCCTAAGAATGGTGCCCGGGGGCTCGTCGTCATCTTCTGCTGTGCCCCAAGGCTGTACCTCCCCACCACCAGTCACGTGGGGCTTCTGGCCAAACCTGGCGCGTATGGTGTTGATGGAGCGAGCCAACTCGATCACTTTGTCATCGTCACGTCGCTGTGGGTAGAAATGAGGCTATTACTGATCCCGGTCATAGTGAACGCATAATTTTTATACTGTACTGATGCTGGTTTATATGTATGTGTATATATATATATATATATATATATATATCAAGATTCGAAAACGGAACTCACGTGTAAGCAGAAAGTGTTACCACGACACTACTAGGAGTAAAAAGCTACCTAGGCTTTGTTTTTCACACAAATATTGCTCTTTCGATGTATTGATTAAGCAACACTCAGTTTAGCTGTATTCTCTACAAATTTAGTAATAAACCATATACGCGACACGGACTAACCACAGTTGAGGCTTCCGTTGCTTAATGAGACGAAAGAGCAGCCTTTTGTGTTAACAATAAAGCCTAGGTTAGCTTTTTAGTCCTAGTGGTGCCGTGGTAACACCTTATCTCTGTGGTGGTCCGGGTTCGAATCCTGCTAGTGAGGCATTGTTAATATATTGAGGCCCGCTTGTATTTGGAGTAATGAGATACCCAGTATACTTTACACACACACACACACACACACACGCACGTGCGCACACACACACACACACACACCACACCGTGCGCACACACACACACACAAGCACGCATGCACAAGCACGCACGCACACAAGCACGCCACACACACACACACAAGCACGCATGCACACAAGCACGCATGCACACACACACACACACACACACACACACACACACACACACACACACACACACACACACACCTTGGTTAACCATTTGTTTATTAAGACTATGTATCTAAATTTGTATAATGAACAGGTGGGTTGAAAGAATATGATTACTGCAGGCTGTACTTATAGCTCCAATTGGCTTTTAAGCTGAAAAATCAAGAGAGTTGACTACAACTCTTCAGTAAATACATATGGAATCCACATGAATCGGGTTATACAAACATACCACGGAGCACAAGCTGTTAATAATGTCGTCATATATAATTGACCTAAAACGAACTACATTTACATGATAACAATTACTCGAGTACGGAGGTGTTTCTTGGCCGAGGTAAGAACACTTGGGGTAAATGAGTAGTGAGGCAGCAAACACAGGTGATGATAATGTAAGAATGAAAATAGGTCTTAGAGGTGGACAATTATTCCGTCTGGTTTGATAATTTTAATGTTTTAGTTATATTACTGAATGTTTTAAGAAGTGTTATACCATTGTCTGATGTTAGTATCTTTCTACGTACAGAAGCGTTTATCATCTTTAGCTATTGTTTTAATTAGTTATGGGAATGATATATCATTTTGACAAGGCACCAGAAGTGAGTCTTTGTGTTTTATTATTTGAAGTAGCCTTATAACCACAGCTTCTCCTCGCCCCCAAGGTACACCCTCTCACCCCCTAGGTACACCCTCTTATCCCCCAGGTACACCCTCTCACCCCCCAGGTAAACCCTCTCACCCCCAGGTAAACCCTCACCCCCCAGGTACACCCTCTCACCCCCAGGTACCCCCCTCACCCCCAGGTACACCCCTCACCCCCAGTACCCCCTCACCCCCAGGTACACCCCCTCACCCACAGGTACACCCCCTCACCCCCAGGTACACCACAGTCCGGATTAAACTTGTTTTGTCCACCAGCATCAAAGTACTGTGTGTGAAGGCGTGTCACTGGGAGACACTGTTATACAAAGCTCTATATTGTGTTTGTTGAAATTACCAGAGATATAAGAGGTAGGAAGAATATAAAAACAAGGGATATATAACAAGGTGCGTTGCTTAAGATGTTCATTAATATGGAAAAAAAATGTCACTGTTGTTGTTGATATGCACAGCGGGAAAAATGAAGTGCGCGGCGTTTAATTAACTGTTGGGTGGGCAAGCAGCTTCTGGAGGGAACATTGGTTTTGCCCTCACCGTCATTAACACGTCTTCTCGTGGTTCATCAAATATTGTTTAAATTATCTCATTTTATCCTCGTGTGTTACACTAAGTTTAACCTCTGTTCATATTCACTCTTCAGTTTTGTAGGTGTTAGGTGATGTCTCCTCGACAACGTCACCTTCAGGCTACGTCTTGATCTCTGGCCAACTAATCGACGCAGTTACACAAATACTTTTTCTCGTATTTTTTATGTGATATCGATTCAGGGACCCAAGGTTCTCCGGCCACTTGGTGTTCTACCATTATTTGTGCAGCTGTGAGTTACTCAGTCAAGTGGTTAACTCGATCACTGGTTTGTTGTAAACACACACACACACACACACACACACACACACACTTGTGTATAGATAAATGTAACCACATTGAAATTAATAAAGATCAATAGTATATTAGATTATCGCATCATGATACAGAAGTCATGAGCACAAGTAACAGGTGTCTCACGCTGGCTTTTCATTAGCTGTATGGACAGTATTACGTCACCTCAGTGGCGGTGTGTGGGTGGAGGACACTCGCGGGAGACAGTGGAATGGTTAGTGTCAGTACGGTGAAGTAATTATTATCATCATTCATCTCAATACCTTATGTCAATTAGTTAGTTATATCATGAAATTTATAATGAAAATTGTCTTACAAACTTGAATCTTTGTTTTAATTGTTTGTAAATTAATTGGGCAAATGTTAACTTTCGTCTTATAAAGGTTGGCGGCGGCAACATTTTGATTTTTGTTCTTGTTCATCTGACGATGAGTGTATCTTAGTTGAGACCAACTTCTCAGTGTGTGTGTGTGTGTGTGTGTGTGTGTGTGTGTGTGTGTGTGTGTGTGTGTGTGTGTGTGTGTGTGTTCACAACCTTACCTTACACCGCCCCGCCCCACTTCCACACTACCTTAACTCTTCCCCTACATCACCCCATCCTCCCCCATACCCTATCCTGCCCCTCCTCAACCCGACACTACCCTACCAAACTCCTCACATGTCACCCCTTACCTCCTTTCGCTGCCCCTCCCCACCTTTCCCCGCCCCGCCCCTACAAGTAACCTAACCTATTCTGGTCACATATGATGCGACCACCTCCACTTGCCATACAATCAGCTGACTAATTCTAGCATTGGATATCTGGCCAGTAATTAATGTGTCAGACGAGGACTTAACTTGGAGATCTGTTGGAGATGGGGTGCGGAGGGGGAGGACTGACTGAGGGGAGATGGGGGAGAGAAAAGTGGAGGAAAGCGGCTGAACTGGAGAAGATAGGGAAGGGGTGAAAAGCGAAAGGTGAGGGTAGGGTTGGTGAAGGGGATGGAAAATGGAAGAAAGGAAAGTTCGGAAAGCGAAGCAAAAAAAAAAAAAAACGAATGGTAGCGGGTAGGATGCATTGGAGGAAGAGGAGTGGGGAGAAGTAGGCGGTGGGGAGGATTTTCACAGGTGAGTCATGAGGGCAGGTATCACTCATGGTCAGTTCTGGCTCAGTGGCAGCACCTCAAACTAGTCCTCGCCTGACATGTGTTGTTGCTCTCTAACACAGTTATCACACCACTCCAGGGGGTCCTGGCTGGCCTGCGACTCCTCTTGATATGTGTGTACTTGTGTAGTGTTTGTGAGTAATGTTTTAGGGAGATTCAGCCAAATAATCCCTAGTGACAAAGGATTGTTTGGCTTTCGGATTAGCACTACAACACAAGGTAACTTTCACTTAAGATGTTCTTCAGGTGTTTAACTGCGCGAAATCTCGAGTACACATAGGTTAGGTTAGGTTAGGTTAGGTTAGGTTAGGTTAGGTTAGGTTAGGTTAGGTTAGGTTAGGTTAGGTTAGGTTAGGTTATGTCAATTTAGGTTGCTAAGTTAGCATTTGCGATTAGTTTTAATTTGTAGGCCTACTGTTTATGTACAGTACAGTAGTTGGTTATTACTACGTCCACCGTAAATCAAATTTTCACTTAAATAAAGTTTGTTGAGGTAAAAGTATATGAAATAGATAGGAAAAGATGACTAACAAGAATTAAAAACAAATAATTACGGCGTTTGAGCAACGGGCACCGGTCACGCCTCCCTGGGCAGTACTTGTGAGGACCTTGTGCCCACCACCCTCACACTCCTCTACTCTTGTTAGTGTTACACCGTACAGCGTGACATATAACGTGGTATTGTGATGTGTGTCATCATCTTGGTGTCTAATTTGAGAATCTTGTTACTCAGATAAAGTCTTGGATGTTTTGTTGCCACATTCAACTGTTTATATATACATCTGCTTGGGTCAGGATCATATGAAATCACCGATTGTAAGTCGTTCTGTTAGACACTACAGTAAGGGTATCACGTCTCTTCAGTCGTTGTGTGGTGACTAAGCTCCCAGGCGATGAACAGATAAGTCTTGCTGAGTAAAATGAAGCGTGTAGTGAAGAGAACCTCTCCTCTCTCAACACACTCTGGGCCAGATTAAGGCAGTCGGGAAAGTCTTCACTTCTACACAATGTACTTTAAAACTTGGGGGCGTGAGTTAGCCAAGTTAGCCGGTGTGTAGTGTTAGGTGTGAGCGGCGGCAGCGGCCTTCTTCTGTACATCACCACCTGATACACGGCACTCCGGTAGGAACCGAGGCGACGAGTGTTACATAGAGAACAACATCTTTAAAGAGTAAATGAGATTTAATTAGGTAGTAGATGATTTTAGTGAGGCCATCAGGTCTTTCGTGAACAGGGAAAACCCACATGGCGTAGACTATTAGGAGGTGGTGGGAGGAAATTAAGCGATCAGCCGCGCCCCCCAACCTGACTTAAAGTTCGTCCATTAGCAACGGGCGATAGGCAAGACCTACCCCCTCGGGCTGGCCTGTCTACCGAGATGCCGCCGCCCTCCCCCTGTGCTAAAAATATTCGTCCGTACGGTGCGCCCTGTCTCCGAATCTCTGGCCGTCCACACACTCCGTTTGATGTGTACCGTGACTGAGTGACCTGCGGGCCGGCCTGCACCTTGGGGACTGTGGGTGGGCTTGAGGGGCGTCCGTGGGTGGAGGGATGGGGCGCGGGCGGGGGCGGAGGTCAGCAGGGCGGGCGTTGCAGCTAGCCGGCCACCACCCGCAGCTGACACCC